CTGTGGGGGCAATATGCTGACTCTGTAAACCGCTTAGAGAGGGCTGAAAGCCCTATGAAGCGGTATATAAGTCTAACTCCTATTGCTATTGCTATTACGTATCAGGAAGGCCAAAGAGAGGTTAATCCCCTCCCCATCTCGGAAGATAAAAGAATAAAGAATAACTAGAATTTCTCTGCAACATTTCCAACCTTGTAGAATGACCTCCTCTTACCTATTGAGGTGTCTTGACATTGATCTCCCTCTTTGTAAAGTCCTCTACAACGTGGCTCCTGAGAGCGATTTGTGGGATTCACTCTTTCCCCAGGACAATTAGTCCCTATCTCCATGAAGGACCCCAGAACCTGAAATTTTGACCAAAAAAGGGAGTTACAAGAACTTATGAACTACATTTTCATTTTCAACATTGCCAGCTCTGTGTGACCTAAATCACAGAACGGGGATTATTAAGATGTATTAATCATCCAAAGCATTAAGGATACATTTAAGAATTCCCGGACATTAAGCTTCCTCCATATTTCCCAAGAGGAACGTTTCTCACCTGGTGCATTTCCTCCTCCTCTGCCTGGCTTAGCAGGAAACCTTCGGCCAGGGCCACCGCCTGGCAAGTGGTCTCCACTCGGCACTCCCGCACCCAGCGCTGCATCTCCCTGGGCAGGACGGCTAGAAACTGCTCCAAGATCACCCGGTCCAACATCTGAGCCTTGGTGTGCTTCTCGGGCTGCAACCATCCCCAGCAAAGGCGGTGAAGGCGGCTGCAAAGCTCTCGTGGTCCTTCGGCCTCCTGAAAGGGGCTGTTCCTGAAGTGCCAATGCTGGATCTCAGAACTGAGGGCTTCCTTCTCTGGGATCTTCTGCCCAGGTCCTACCCAGACCTCCCCACAGTTCCCGGGTTGAGTGGCAATGAGGCCTTTTCCCGCTCGCTTCCAGGTTGGCTGGTTTGCATCCATTTCTGGTCTTTTCTTTGACATGGGTGGATCTCCTGGGTCTCCAAAGGTCTTTTCAGTCCTGGGATCTGGAGGAGTGGCAGAGAGGCTGGGAGACGGTATTCAAGCCATTCAGCTCTCAAGAGAGCTCCCGTTTTTTTACACTGGAGGCGGAAAAGAAAGGAAACTTCCGGAATTGCAGGCTGTTTTCATTCAGAAGCTATGATTGTATGATCAAATTCAGGACCAAGTAACGGTTTGGAGGGGAGGGTGGTGGCAAAATCAACAAACCTTTCAGACTCAGTGAAAGGTCTGTCCCTCCTTCAACTCTCTTGACACACACCCCGCCCTCATTTTGGGGAGGGTCTTTTCTGGAAGGTGCCCGCTCAGCTCCGGGGGCAACAGAAAAACTCTCGGCGGGGTCTTTTCGATCCCTCTCCCTCCCCCCCCCAAAGCTTGAAAGGGGTCCCTTTGCAGAGGGTGGAGGAGGAGTTCCAGGCTGGGATGCCCCCTTGCAAGGTTCTTTGTTACAGACGCTGGGAAGCGAACCTGGTCGATGCAAATGGGAAGAGCTGATTCCTTCAGCCTCCCGCCAGCTGTTTCTTTCCCCGGGGGAGACTCGGGGTTGCAGGACCCCCCCTCCCTCCCCAGATTCCCAGGGCTCAGCTCCCAGCCGCTCCTTTCCAGCTGGGCAGACGTGGCGGAGCATGCGCAGTGGCGCTCAGGCATTTGACGTTGAGGCGGGCGCCCCCTAGGCATCCCCTCTCCAATTGCCTTCCCCCGCAGCTCCGCAGTATTGACACCGGACGCAAAGCAGATCCCGGCAATGATTGTATTCCCCACCCTTCCCGCCCCAAACCGACTGGTCACCGGAACGATTCCTTTCTTCTAATCCTTTTCAGCTGGGTCGGTAGAGCGGGGCAGAGCTGGAAGGGATCTTGGAGGTCTTCTAGTCCAGCCCCCTGCTCAAGCAGGAGAACCTATACCATTTCAGATAAGTGACTGTCCAGTCTCTTCTTAAAAACACCCAGTGATGGAGCAGCCGCTACTTCTGGTGGCAAGCCGTTCCACTGGTTAATTGTTTTCACTATCAGGAAGTTTCTCCTTCATTCCAGGTTGCTTCTCTCCTTGATGGAGTTTCCATCCATTGTTTCTCGTCCTGCCTTCAGGTGCTTGGGAAAATAAGTTGACCCCCCCCCCTCTGTGGCAGCCCGCCAAATACTGGAAGACTGGCCTCGTGTAACCCCCCCCCCCAAGTCGCTCTTTTCTGCACCCCAGCCAAGCCCAAATCCTCCAACCGTCCTTCATGTTTTGGCCTCCAGGCCTTTGAACAAGATTTGCACAAGACCTCACAGGACGGTTGCTATGGAGTTGGTGCCTTGAGCCGCTTACAAGGTAGCAAAAGGCGGAATAAAGAAGGAAAGGAATGCATTGTGCTGCTTGAGTTTGCAATGCAAAAAAACTCCCTTCTCCCTTTCCCGAGGCTTTTCCCCGGGACGATTAGTTGGGGGGGGGCGGGGTGTCTTGCATGCAAAGGGACCCTGGACTCTCCTCAAACGCCCCCCCCCCCCAAGACTGGGATGACTAACCCTGATTGATCCCTCTGCACGTCCGCCTCCCCCTCCCCTTTGGCTTCCTTCCCACGAGGTGGCTCTGCACACTTCTGATTCCCTCGTTCTTTGCCGCCTGCGGGGACGAAGGGGTTACAGCGAGCGAGCGCGGAGTCCTAGAGGGGCCAGTCCTCAGAGAGAACGAGAGCTTCCGAAGGCTCTGGGCGCCTGGCGGTTTGGAGGCGTGGATAAGAGGCGCGCTGGGTCACGTGAGCCGGGGGAGCCAATAGGAGGCGAGAGGTTATGTCCGTTGGAGCGGGAGAGGCGTTTCTGAGTCGCCTCAGCCGCGGAAGACAAGGCAGTTAGGAAGATTGGAAAGAAAGCGGAGGGAAGGATGGAAAGGAAAAAAGAAAGGAAGGAAAGATGAAAGGCGGAGAGGAAGGTAAAAAAAGAAGAAAGGAAGGAAAATTGGAAAGAAAGGAAGAATGGAAAGGAAAAAAGGAAGGAAGGAAAGATGAGGGGAAGGGAAAAAAGAAGAAAAGATGGAAAGGAAAAAAGAAGGAAGGAAGGAAAGATGAGAGGAAGGGAAAAAAGAAGAAAAGATGGAAAGGAAAAAAGGAAGGAAAGATGAGAGGAAGGGAAAAAAGAAGAAAAGATGGAAAGGAAAAAAGGAAGGAAAGATGAGAGGAAGGAAGGGAAAGATGAAAGAAGGGAAGGAAGGAAAAAGAATTGGAAAGAAAGAGGAAGGAATGATGGAAATACGAAAGGAAGGAAGTGCACAGACTCACATACTCCTCCTGAGGGGGGAGAGGCAGCACCGCCCTGATGGGCCTTGGGTGAGAGAAGTATGGACAGAGGTGATCCTCTGGTGACCTGGGCCGTGTTACGTTGTCCCTCTGGCAGGGGATCTCTGGGCCCTTGTACTTCACCTCAGACTCATGGATAGCCTTTGGCAGTTTTGCCTTCTGGGCATCGGATTGCCTGGTGGTCTCCCAACTTTCCCAACAAAAAGAAGTCTGAATTCCTATCCTAGAATAAGTTTCCCTTCCTTCCTCTCATCTTTCCTTCCTTTTTTCCTTTCCATCTTTTCTTCTTTTTTCCCTTCCTCTCATCTTTCCTTCC